AATAATAATAACAAGGGCATTTCTAGCTGATAAGAAGTCATCTGCCACCCTTTTATTGACCATTTCATGTGTCTCATATTGCTAAAATATTCTAATGTTACTCCACAAGTTGTAAATTAATTTTATCCGCATCATAACTAACACTAGTGTATAATTATATTAACACTGTTAAATTATACATTAATATTACTCGTATTGTAACACGATAAGTGAGAGTTTTAAATATAAAAAGCGAAAAATATTTCTTTCTGGCTCCAGAATAGAATCAGGGTTGACATTCTGCCCGCAAAGAGGAAGTATTTCATATTTAATATACAGTTAAAGACTGGAGTCCTCATTTATGATCGTGTGTCGTGCGCCCCGACTGTGTGTACCTATGTATAATGTACGGGCCTGCCACACTCCGCACTGATCACGATCGATGCGCGAGGGCACGTGCGCCCTCAAACCTCTTCTTGTTACTTATACAAACAGAAGGCTAAGTCTACGCTTCACTAATGTAACAGTATTACTATTTAATAAACGTTCTCCTCTCAACGTGTATATTAAACTCTTTAAAAAAATTATGGTCTTAATTTTAAATGTCTTTATAATATGTTTTCAGTTCGATATTGTACATTAATTGTTTGGATTTTCTGCATCTTTATTTATATGCCTAAATACAAGCATAACGGTGATAATTTGCATATAGTTCTGTGAGGGCACTCAGTATGAAGGGCGATTATAACGTGGGTGAAGTTGAAGACAACAAGACTAACAAGATCAAGAAGTGATCTCGAACTTCATGAAAAGCCGTTCAAAATACTACTAGTTCATGATGTGATTTAGTCGATATTTTAGTCGTGCTGGATAGAATTAATTCGTTAAAAATGTATTTTAAATTTTTCATTATTTCCGTTTTAAGTTCTAAAAGGGCCTTGTTCTAGTGTAATTTTTTAACGTTTTTGTATCTAGAATACGTTAGTTTCCAACTAGTCAAATTCAATACTTTTATCCAAACGTCAAAAACGATACTTTTCTATGAAATTTGTATGAAAAACTGAGCTATGACGTCATAACTTTTTTGCGTCAAATAGCTTACTTATTTCTTAAAAAATAGCTAAAAAAATAAAAATTAGCTAAAAATTAGTGTATCAATCGATCGATGACTAAAAGTATAGTTATTTTTCAATGTTTTATTGTATTGAACGTCGAAATAATTTATTATTTACCTAGGAAACTACCCAATTTACTAAATAATTACTACTAATCTATACTACATATATACTATCTATACTAAATATATACTAGAAATCTATAGGTAAAGAATATATAAGAAGAGGCAATATTTTCAATATGAGATAAGAAAAAATCACATTTTAATACTACATTTTTTAAGATAAAAGAAACTACATACTTAGTATAGTTTCAAGTAACAGCGGACCGTTATTTTTAGTTAACTCAGTTAGTTAACGTAAGTCGTTATTTTATAATTATATTATTTATTTCTATTCCATTTAGATTTCCACATTTGTTGTTATTTTTAACATTGACCTTTATATTACGCTTCAGTATGTGTACTGCAATTAATACTTAGCGTAATAAAATATCGTGGAGCCCCAGTTTCGTGCAGAACTGGATCAATGTTAAACTGCCGTGGCGCACGCGCTTCATTATGAAGATTATCGGCTAGGAGTCGCTGACAGACATGATGTGAGGTACCACTGCAAATAGTAGCGGGTTGATGGCAACTTGCGATGATTATTTGAATAATATGTAACATGTGATTTGAAGATTTTATTTGGAAAAAAATCAATAACTGTGAAAAAATTACAGTGAAAAATTCATATAGTAATATTACAAAGAAGTTACACATCAAAACACATCTCTCATTATTTCCTCAGTTAGAGACGCCAACGTACTTTAGCTGAGACAGCAATTAGAACGAGCTTCCTTCTTAAATCGCTGATGGTAAGACCGCAACTTGCCCATTGGTAGCGCATGCGCATGCCATAGCTCGGCTTTCTATTTCACATCGCCGTCAGATTTCACGTTATTAGCAGCAGGCCGCGTCCCATTGTTCAGCCCCATGACGTGACTGACGCTCGCAGGAATCCTATTTTATCGTCAAACCTTTTATAGGTACACCTGAGTACCTCGATACCGGATAATACCGGTTAACACCGGCATCGTTCTTCTTCACTCGCCGCTTACAATACTTTTTGTTTCTTTGTAAATATCGTACTGTTTTTATTTGGTTAAGATATCTTAAATCGTAATATCTTAAGCGTAATCGTAGATTATCGTTTAATGAGTACACGTTGTAACTTATACCATCAAATAATAACTGAATTTTCGTTAATTATGTTAGATGCAAAAAGTTCCATCTGAAGATAAAACTTAAGTTGAAACTTATATACATATTTCTATTTAAAATTAAAATTTTCCTGTTATTTTAATTCGCAATGTAACTTCCTTTCTAAAATATAACGTATACCATTAATATCGGTTCAGTACATTTTAAGTTTATATCAAAATTATACACTCTCTCTTTGTTAATTATAGTGCAAATTACTAAGTTACACTAATGAAGCTCATTGCTAACATATTTCAAGCATTCTTTTCTTACGTAAATCTATGGAAAGTCGAAATTGTCTTTATGATCTTATGCAATAAAATTGAAGGAAATGATAATTACAAACTACATATGATTTTAATATTCCATAAATTAGGCGAATAATGTAAAAATCAGTTTAAGCTTTAAGTACTTTCTTTACTTTTAATTAATTTATAAAAAGGTTTTCACACCATCCAGCTACATCATACGGGGCTGAAGTTATTCTTGCAATTATTTTTTTCAGTCCTGATAGCAGACACGGGCTATGCAAACAGTTCCTACTTGCGTAGTGGAGCGGCGCCGCCATTAGCCTCGCGTTACAATTGTTTTAATAGCCACATTTAATTGCACGGTACTGGGACACTCCACCTGTTTGAACAACATAGTGCGATGTTGTAGTTGATGTAGTGTTATTAGAGTCTCCATCCGCGTATCCACTAGCTGGTGGTATTTATTATTGGTTTTTAAGTACCGTACATTGCTTGAAGCCGGACCTTTCTAGTAAATGGGAAATACATAAATCGGCGTCCTATTGCTTCATGTAAATTGTAAATTTCATTAGTAAATCGTTGGAGGCCACATGTCTACGCCGTTCATAGTCTTAAGTTTTCAAAACCCTAGCAATTGGCAACGCACTTGTACGATTACGAAGGTCCGCGGTTGGCGTCTATTGCTTATCATCAAGCAAATAATAAGCTCATCGGATGACCTATCCAATAAAAAAAACACTTACAATTATCTTTCTGTATACCTTACTGGAACCAATCTAATGACACGTTACTTAGTAACATATTATTAAACTTTCTTTTCTAAACTACGTGTGGTTGACGTACCTGTGTGATGGCTGATTGACACATGCTATTAGCTCTATTTTTTACCAGACGCGAGGTATTCCACCAGGAATGTTAATTGGCCGTCCAGCCACTAATGTGGCAGTTTCCCTCACATTCTTCGAAACATTTGAAGAATCGCACACACTTCCGGGTCTTAACGATAGTCTAGCTATTAAAGGAGTTTTTTATAAACTGTAACGAGACATTTCTTAGTTTAATGAGTTTAGAAATCTGAACGCACATTTATCACGGAAAGTTTAACGCAGACGCCATGTTACTTAGTCACAGTTACATCTATATAGTTTCAGCTTAATTTGACGTTAATGCTCAAGTTTTTTGTACAAATAAAAAAACGTCAGCAGTAAATCACTAAGTCGAGGGTGAACCAATTATTGATTGACTGGTTAATACTTAACGTGTGGGAATTATGTACTGAGGGGGAAATGGTAATTGTGGGCTTGTTAGTCAGTCACCGGCCGGCATTGTGCGGCAGGCTGTTTAATAGCGAGCTAATAACTGAGGAAGCCGCAGCCTAGTCTAAACACATGCACTGTTCTAGTAATGAACTGGTGACCACACCCACCGCTCGTGTGTCAGCCCGCGAGCCACGCATTTATTAGACCTATCAACTCCTTAACTATGCTTAGCTTAGAGTGTGCAATAAGTATTATGAGTGGCGGGTTCAGTACACAATAACACTTTTACCTTACCCAATGCAATCAAAGGTAAATTGATTTTCATGGACATCACGTACTTTCATTCTGGGGAAGTGATAATGTTATCTATCTTAAGACATGAATGGGCTTGGAGGGTGGGAGATTCATGTTTCTATATTCTCAGCCCGACAAAGTTATGTTCACAACAATTAATCACAGTAATGACATGATGTATGATCTTGACACGATTACGACACCTTCGTGAGTGTGGGTGCAGTGGGTGCTGATACATGCGCCTAGTGTTGTAGCTAGAACATCTCGGCTAGGGTTGTTAAATAATAATTAGGTATTTGTTATTATTTGATTATTTTTGTACGTAATACCTTGTTAATTGTTTTGTTTTTTGGTTGGCATATGTACTTGAAAAACGTTTTATTAAACTTGCAAAATATAACAGTAACTATGTAACTATGTTGTATAACAAACAACGTGAACATAGTGTATAGTCCTAAATTTTGAAGCTAGTATATATGTAGTTCTAGTATTTAGCCACGTATAAGCTACATTAAAAAAGTATTTTATTACTTTTATTGGCCTTGACTGCAGGCCGTGTTTACAGAAGTAGCGATAGTTGAGAATGGAACTCCGTAGTGCCTAAAAAGTATTAATTTAGCATAGATTAACCATCATAAAGTTCATGTTACTGCTGCTTCGCCTTCGCATGTACATTCAAGGATCTCTAAAGTATTGACGCCCCTGTACGTGTGAGTCACCATCAGCCCGCGATCGCTCCATGATTACACGGTGTAAACAAGCTATTAGATGTTAAGCTGTTACAGCTGTCTCGAGGCCGATGGCTATAATCAGCTCTCGCAGTGCTGAGCTACAAATCTTAAAGTTTTATTGCGAAACAGCCTAGCCGATGGGTCTGGTCAGCAGCGATAAGTAGAGACTACAAAGAAATATTAGATTTTAAAAGGCAAGACAAGCATTAGGCTTAGATATTACCAACTCGTGCAATCAATACGACTGCACAATTGGAGCAGAGGCTGGGCTGCGAGACAACTCGTCTGACAATTGTTGTCGGGTATATATACTTATAACTGCTATGAAAACGAGAACGGTTTTACTTCCCAAAACCCGAAACTCTACATGGAAATACGTGTAGTTGTGGAGTCTAGCTAAAAAATCCTTTTAGCAAGGTCAAATGGACTGAATGAACCAGCAAGAAATACCCTTGTTGCTAACCTTTATCCGGTATTAATAACTGTTGACTACCAACCACAATTACATTGGTGTTACATAAAGGATTAATTACTGCACAGTATTACATTTCTCATTAATTACGTGACTGCACCGACCCGGGGATGGCGCGTGAGATTGGCCTGAGGGGGTTATATTGCAAACTGCCTTCACAACTTATCACTATTGATTTATTTATTTCAAATGTAAGTAATTGCAATGCTCGAGGCTTTCTTACTGGAGCAATTGTAATTAAAAAAAAATGTATATATAGACAGTTACTGTCATTTAAAGTTATAGGCACCATAACTTTTTGTAATTAAGGTGTTTTAATGAAAAATAAGTGTTGACTGTATAATAAAATAAATTAAAAAAATTATTCAATCATTCGTTATTTACATAACTTCTAGATATTCTCCAAACCACGACTGTTCTTGAAGATTAAATCTTTGATGTCTGCCATTAGTTCACAATATTTGGGTTAAAAATCCAGCCAGTCTATACGAATGACTAGTGTTACACAGCTACAATGGTTATAACAAAAAATATAATCAGTTGAAAGTAAAAGTAACGAAAGTGTACACAATGATGCGCATACGCAAGTCGCGTCGTCATCGCACATGACGAGTGTCGGTGACTTGTCATTGTTGTCATTCATACATGACACGCGTGTACCTACTTGTGTACGTGTTGTGTGCACTGATACAGTTGTTGACATCCACTGACACTGTTATTATGTACACAAGTGGCTGTTTACTGTAGTGTCTTCAGACATTCAATGTTTTGTATCAAGTCATTCAAAGGTTTAATCAATTATTATTGACCATTCATAAATTAATGTAAGCCGGGGTTATGGGTGCAAGCGCAATAAAATGGCTTTTAGTCAGCAAGAGTCAAACTATGCCTTTTACCTCACCCAAGGCGGGAAAAGAAATTTGTGGATTTTCGCTCCTCAAAAAAAATCTTCAATGTAGTAGTTTGTTATCAATCTACCTCAATCCATAAGGTTTAAATGTGTACAGTCTTTTATTTCACAAAAAAGACGCTTATAAGACGATGTATGTTTGAAAAGAAACAACCATTATCAAGAACATTAGACAAGTGTTCGATAAGTTATTGCCATATAATAAATACTCGCATTAGTTGAAGGATTACCACACCACTTGAATGCGTCGATGTTACAAAATGCTTTGTCTTAGTCCCTTACGAGCGGATTATGCGTCGGAACACGCCGCGCCGGCAACAATGGTGTTTAGTAACTGCTCGCAATACTCAGGGGAGTTTGGTGTTCCACTTTCATTTGACGAACGGAGCCGATGGACATCACTAGTATACGGATGTGCTAGTGACGTACGATGTTGATTAATATTGGGTTGGTTCTAAATCAACTGTAGCAGCAAAGTTTAATATTAATATTGACTATTCGAATAATGTTAAAGCAAGCTCTAGCTGCTATTCATCAACTAGATCAATATTTTGTCTTTGTCTCAATATCCCTATTGCAATTTAAAGAAAAATAGGATTTGTTAGTGCATTTTCTATGCAATACTAATAATTTCGATTCTATAGCATTTATAACCAAAGCAGTTACGAGTGTGTTTTGAGGATTAGGGTTTTATAGATTTGAGAATTGGGGAGGGGAGGATTGGGCCTCCCGTATTACAACACTGTGGTTGTTTCACGCCGGTTTTCTGTGAGGCTCGCCACGCTGGTATCACTCCGGTCGAACCTACTTATTCGTGTGGCTTTCCCACACAAAATTAAACATTAGCTTCATCGGAGTACTTCCTGTTTTATTCCAGTTTATCATCATCACAATGCACTCATTTATACAATCAAAGCGCAGTAGAGTAAGCACAAAGCCCGCGGTATAAAGGTACAGGTCCGAGCCGTCAATTATGTCGATGCGATCGAGGTGCGCGGGCGCCCCTGGCGACCAACGTGCGCCTACGCACGACAACTACAATAGAACACAATATGACTAACTACAAAAAGTCCATTCTTCAGTATAACGAGCTTACATCAATATTACGTATACACGAAAATGCGAAAAGTCTCTCTACTGATTATATTGTTTACTCTTAATCTTATATAGAACTAATTAATAGGCCTTTTTTCAATTTTTTTGCTGTGAATATTCTTGCTTATATTTTTACTGTGAATATGCTTCTATGGAACAAATTTTAGGTTCAGTGGTAGGTAATGATTTTACTGAGTTTATCATTAATAAAAAGCGATTAGAGCTCGCTTAGATAATTATTAATTATTGTCATAAATTATTTTTAGTACATTTCAATATTTAGTTAAATAATTGAACTGAAAAATTATAAAACCTGATTTTCTGTCTCCACGGCATTGTGACACTGTGTTCATTAGGGTAACGGCATAGATCCTAGGCTCAAGCACAAATTATAGGGATCGTAAAGAGAGTCTAATTTATCAATGGTTAGTTTTGTACGAATAGGGAGTTCCTATAGCCATTCTCTCATTATATCAATAGGTATATAACTGTACAACATACGTACTAATTATAACACAAATTGCAAAACGATGCAGAAACGAAATAAATTGTCTTATTCAAATAATTCTTCAAAAAAAAAACTCTCGTCCCTGTGTTCCTTACTTTTGTAGGAAAAATACTTGAAATATATTTTATATGTAAATAGAAAAACTTTGTCAATAATCGAATGAATGGGTTACTGACCAGTGACGCAGACCGCTGCTGCTTGTGGAGGTCATGTTGGCTGCGCGAGCGCTCCTCCCCCGCGTCAGAGAACTGACCGGACTTGCGACTGAAAATAAACGTAGACATCAGTACATAAGGTCAAGCCAATTAAAATCTCTGAAAATATTGTGATGTCATTGAAGTAGACAAATCTAGAAAACTATTTTGTATTTCTTTGGTAAAGGACCCTTATTACAGGATGGGTCGGCAAACGAGCAGGCATATCACCTGATGATATCGGCCTTTCGTCGTTTGTCAGATAAGTATTGTAGAGTTATAGATCTGGAGATTAGGTGCAAGGGGAAGCGGGAAGGAAGAATTTACTCCTACCGGAGACTACATCATTCACACGAGGAAACACAAAACAAGCATTGTTTATGACATGTCGGTTTTCTATGAGTCCGCGGTACACTACAGTCGAGCGGTCCTTTAAGCCTTTTTGTTCTTTAAATAATATTTCAATTGTAGGGTTAATATTATATTTTCTATTTCTAATTCGTATTTACGACGAAACGTGATTAAACATGTCATTGTTTTTAGTTATTATGTGAACTAAGCTCAAGTGAATTGTAAATAATATTTTCCTAACAATTACACGTTATTGTCATTTAATATACTTGATTTAAGTGAAACATAAAAAGGTGAACCAGGTTCCACTGTTGTGATCTTGTCATTTGTATACATTTACGATTCTGAGAAATCCTGTGTTTTATAAACACAACAATACAATTATATTATAGCTTTATAAATAACGGGTGCGTACCACAAACCCTGGGAAAAGTCGTTAATGTTTTAATTTCCCATTTGACATTCACTCTATTGACACGTTTTCTTACGTTTTATTAACCGACTAACAACCTAAACTAGACTTATTTCAAATCATCATTAAAATCGGTAATTAAAGTACAATATTATAGCACAATAGAACTAGCTTGATTATGGAATTGGAAGGTCGCTGGTGGAACCTTGGACTACTAATCAACTGTCGAGTTTGGGCTCACTAGATATGTATATTTCTCTTGATGAGACGGACACTTTTAAATAAAGGGTGTTTTTATTAGATTTTGACGTAACTACTTTTATTTCCTTTACTTTAGCACAAATAGAAACGCATAAAAAGTGCAACAACAGTATGTACATATTTCATTTAATAATCGATTAATCAAATGGTTTTTTAAGTAATTTAGTTGTAATTACAAGAGTAACATTTTAATTTAGCATTACAAACATCCTGATGAGCTGTGTGTTTGTACAACAGACGTTTGATGTTTTTTGATTTATGAACCATTATGAACATCAAGTTTAATTATCACTTGAATGATTTAAATCGATACATGTGTAATGCATGTAATTAAAATTTAATAATGTGCAAGCGTTACAGTTACATTTAAGTCATCTAACTTGCTATTATTATTTATTTGATTTATTACACAACTTGTTGGTGTATTTATGTTGATATATAAATGATTACATATCAGCAACTAGCTACATCCACGCGATTTCACTCGCTGCTCTGCTCCTTCAGATCATAGTGTGACGTTTTATAGCGTTATAGCCTTCCCCAATAGAAGAACAAACAAATACGAAAGAATTGTTCAACCCGAACCAGTAGTTCCGGATATGAGCGCGTCAATACAAACAAACTCTACAGCTTTATTATATTAGTACAGTTATGCAGAAATTTACAAAAAAAATGAATGACGCTCTATTTTTGGGCAGTCATGTAAAAACTACTTTTTCTGTTATCTGACCGAAACAAGATAATTATCTGTAATTGTCCTTTTTGGGCGATATGAAATAAACGCGCGTGGTGTGAATTGCATTGGTATATACCGGTCCAAATATTCCAGTATATTAGCGAGCTCATTATGAGGCTGTGCCCTGCGCCCACGCAGCGAGCCGCGCTGTGGACGATGCCCGTTCGGGTATGGTAATTGAATTGCTCGATACTCTGCATTCCGCGACGGTCCGCCACCCGCCACCCATGTCAGCGGACAACTCGAGTCTGAGCTTTCATGTGAGATTATAAAAAGGGCACGCGAATAATATTATTTTGCAATTATAGGTAATGTTGTATCGATGATTTTTGTATGTAAGCTTTAGAAGCTATGAGTCTTATGTTCAGCAGTAATCTTGTTATATTGATGTTTGTAGGTATTACCTGCAGGCGAGCTTGCGGTGCGCGCGACGAGTGCCGCTGATCATGGACAGCGTGCTCATCACCGCCGACATTTCGCCCGGCTGCTATGCTCATGTGATCTGGGAACAAGAACAAGATGATAAAATCTTGAATTGACTGATAAAAGTCAATTCTACTTAAGTAAATAATACCACTGAGTAAAATAAAACCGTTGTAAACTCAAAAATCTCATATACATATATTAGTCAGTAGGAACAAGTTATCTAAACTGACACCAACTAGCCATAGATCTGCATACATGTAATATATGTAAAGGCGGCGTGTGTCCATAAAGGAATGTAAATGTGTGTGACAGGCAGGCCGGCTGTGTCTTGAGGTTGGTGACAAATTGTGAACTGATGTAGCGCGTAACGAGACGCCGCAAAAACTGCGCGTGCGCCGACAACGCAACGTACACTTGAATGGAGCCGAGGCGACGATAAGGTGCTACTACTGTACTTACATAGTGTAGTGTAACGAGCTGTATGTGGAGTTTATATCGATCAGGCGTATTTTTTACTGTAAATAATCCTAATGACGACTTTTTTAGGAAAATATTCAAAGAACTCTTAATTGTGTTATTAATCTGTCGAAGCAAAGATTGTTGTCTTTTTTGTAATTTTTATTAAGATGTATGTCGGCAGCAGACATGCGGATTACCTGATGGTAAGCAATCGGCGCCGCCCGGCATGATTATTTCACGCCGGTTTTCTGTGAGGCCGTAGTATCACTCCGGTCGAGCCGAGCCTTGCAAGCCTGGTTCTCCCAAATGATGGTGTAATTAAAATAAATAAATACCGTTCTTAAAAGAGTAACCATGGAGTTTCTTGCTCGTTCTTCTCCATCGGAATCTACACTTTGGAACGAGCAAATAGCTTCACTAAGAGGACTGACGGACAGACTGACACGATATCTGCAAAATTTTGTTTTGACGTTCAAAAGTGCCTGTAAAGGTCTAATTGGAATAAATGATTTTTGACTTTGACTTGACTTGACTATGTTTTTTACACCTATGATTTGACTAGATATTTTATTGTTCGAGCTTATTGCAAAGCTTTAATTACCATTGTAAAGTATTATATTAATTAAAATCGTATGATTAATTTATATATTGAAGGTTTGTAAGTATTTTCTTATTGTTTCTACACAGATGATGCAATTAAAGCATATTGAGTAACTTTAACAATTAATATTTTACAATAAAATTATGTTTAATTGCGATCATTAAATGATGGCACGATAAAGTTATTTGGTAACAATGCTTATAAATTCTCAATACTTCATTAGCACTGCGATCGTGAACAATTGGTTCTGCTCATGCCGTTGAGTTGGTTGGCGTGAAGTGCGCCGAATGTTCAACAATATTATTAAACAATAACTCGCTTGTGTCAGACATTTGCAAAACATCTGTACCTGGTGTTGTAATCGCTCGTTGTGGATGATACAGAATTAACTTCAATGAAGATATTTGCGAGTGTTTTGTTATGGATTTTATATAGACGATGAAATCAAAAGCGATATTTAGCAACAATTGCAATAAAGAAGTAAAGGTACTTTTTAAAAGTAGAACTAACTTTGCAAAGAATCAAACATTCATTCATTGATTTGTCTATACAATTAGATTACGTTTCCTAGCCAATTTTTCAGAAATAACACGCACCGCGTTGCCGTTTTATACAAAATTATTTTTTTAGCATTTAATTGAAAGGGGTTTTTGTTTTAAAGAGGCATCGCCGCGGGATACTGTACTGTTGCAGACTGCAGCCATCCGTAATTACGTTCGGTTCAGTTCTTCGTAAGAAGTTTCCGCGCAGTTCAATTGGACGTGCATTTATTATAAACACAGCGTTTTATGGCTTAATCAACCATCCGACCAGTACCGGAGTCCGCCGACACTAGGGTATTACTGATTCGTCTTCAGAATACCAAGTAGATGTTTATATTAAGTTATTATTGCTTTAATTTGTAGTTTTAGTTAATTTTCTAATGGATGTCTACTCTTCTCGCAGTTTGTTTATCACTCTTGGAAATTATGTGTACACTGCTCTATTATTTTGGATTCGTCGAAATTCTAAATCGTAGTTAGATATATAGACACATATGTCTTACATAGCCTGGCCATAAATACTGTTACAATTCAAAATAAACAAAATATTACATTTGAATTTGGAATCTGTCATTTTTATATAATTTTTCATTGTGTTTTCTTATTTTGGCGCCAATAAATTGTTCAATATTTTGCGATATTGAAATATAGTGGGGTGATAAAGAGAACCGAATCGCTGTGATTGCATTACACAAAGTGGGTATGAAGCCAAATGCAATTTTTGAAACTCTCCACACGCTTGGCATTAGTCAAATGTTTGTGTACCGGGCTATTAATAGGCACAATGAGACCTCCTCTGTTTGTGACAGAAAAAGATCTGGCCGTCCACGTAGTGTTCGTACGAAAAATGTGGTCAAAGCAGTAAGGGAAAGAATTCAAAGAAATTCTGTCCGAAAGCAAAAGATTTTATCTCGGGAGATGATGATAGCAACTAGAACCATGTCGTGTATTTTAAAAGACGACTTAGGGCTTGCAGCCTATAAGAGACGCACTAAACATTTTTAAATGATAATTTAAAAAAGAATAGGGTGATAAAATCTAAACAACTACTGAAGCGGTACGCAAAGGGAGGTCACAGAAAAATTTTGTTTACGGATGAGAATTACAATTAAGCAACATTTTAACAAACAAAATGACCGTAATTATGCTCAAAGCTCTAAGGAAGCTTCTCAATTAGTCGACAGAGTGCAACGTTGGCATTATCCGACTTCAGTGATGGTTTGGTGGGGTTTTAGCTATGAAGGAGTGACTGAGCCATACTTTTGCCAAAAAAGTATCAAAACATCGGCACAAGTGTATCAAAATACCATTCTTGAGAAGGTAGTTAAGCCCCTTAACAACACCATGTTCAATAACCAACAATGGTCCTTCCAGCAAGACTCGGCGGCGGGTCATAAAGCTCGGTCCACGCAGTCTTGGTTGGAAACGAACGTTTCCGACTTCATCAGAGCTGAAGACTGGCCGTCGTCTAGTCCCGATCTTAATCCGCTGGATTATGATTTATGGTCAGTTTTAGAGAGTAGGGCTTGCTCTAAACGTCATGATAATTTGGACTCCCTAAAACAATCCATACGATTGGCAGTGAAGAATTAACTGGCCTCAACGTTTAAAGGACTGTATTGTAGCCAATGGAGACCACTTCGAATAAGCTTTTTATGTTTTATAATTATGTATTAAACTTACATACTGTAAAAGTAATAAATGTTATTTGCAATAGAAAAAATATTTTTTTTATTTGTTACAGTATTTATGGGTAGACTATGTATATGAAAATGTTACACGTCATGTTGAAGAATTAGCAAGATTAAGACACTGAGAAAAACATTAGTCGCTTTTTAATTAAGAATCAATAATTTGCGTTTTTTATATTTGTTTTCGTGTTTTTGAATAAAGCAGTGTTTACAGCCCTGACACTTCTATCATGACGTCTCAGCTGAAGGATATCGTAATGAATGGTTACTCAAATTGATTTTTAGATTGGCCTAGCTTAATAGACGTCGCGTCGTAATGTGCGGCCGAGTTGTCGGCCCACCAGATGACTGATGATAATATTCATTAAAAGCAACGCCTATACCACTAAGTGTTAGCTGTCAAGCAATATAGATCTACGACTACGTATTATTGTCTATAATCAAAATGTAATATTTATTAAAATATACTTTACTAAAACGCACTTGAGTTTAGACATTAAAGCTTATAAACATGTCCTTTCAGCCACGTCTAAGCAGTAATTTGGCCAATACATTATAGAAATTTGGCTAAAATTGTTAAAAATGACTTTTATTGTCAACATCTTAGTGCACTTCTGTATTCAAAAAAGTAAAATTTACAGACACCTAACATAACGGTTCAGAAATGCTAGGTTTACAGTATGATGTCATGGTCATTATATTTCCTGATGTAGGTACTCATATTTGACAGATACCTCCATCTCCGTACAAGGTACCTATCTTCTTGCCCCCGAGGGTGGGTAATGACGGCGTGTGCCAGTAATGACGGCAGTCGCATCGCGTGCGACTGCGCAGCGCCTCGCCGTGACTTACTCGCCATTACGCCGGCATACCGCTACGGATAATGTCAGGTTTCTGGCACATGCAGTTGTGCGTATTATGAACCTAAAGGAAGAAAATGACAGTAGACTTAAAACTATCTTACAGGGAAAATCTTAAAAATGTTAAGAGGATGTACTCTGACAGTAATTCGAACGTACGTACATAAAAAAGTCAAGAATCATTTATTCCAATTAGAACCTTACTGGCACTTTTGAACGTCAATCAAAATTTTGAAGATATAGTGTCAGTCTGTCAGTCAGTCCTCTTAGGCTATTTGCTCGTTCCAAAGTATAGATTCCGATGGAGAAGAACGAGCAAGAAACTCCATTACATATTTTGTTTATTGAAAATACTAAGTTACTTATACAAAAATTTGAGATTAGGGTTTCCAACGGGTTTATCAAAGTACTTTTTTTATTTTCTCAAAACTCGGCGTCTTAGCACCTCATTATCTATGTTCGGCTCATAATCTGTCGAAACTCTGGTTTTTACAAGTTTTCACATTCGGAACGCGGACTATGAATTGCTTGAGAAACGCATTAGCCTTGTTTCTCATTTGTTAGTAGTCGAGTCGGGTGACGACTTAACAAGTCATTCGTTGAAAGTACGCGGGAATCATAACTGTGACGTGGATGTTACTGTAATATAAACGTTGTTAATTTAACGGTGTGACTATGTTATTGTCAGGTGTTACGTCAATAGAACTGTGAGTACTAACTGTTCATATTCCATTGCCGACAATGTCAAGTGTCGCTGCTCTTTGTGTTGGCGTTTTACGATCACTCAGTGCGCACTGGTGCCGACGACGTCATGTCGTTCATGAGTTTACAGGAATCGAAGTTAAGACTTGAGAGTTTCGTATTACTTACCAGTTCTTGGTAATGTTTAATGTTTT